ACCTTGCGGCAACCTGGAGATGCACAGGGCAGCTTTAAATAGAGCGCCCTGTTCTCCCATTGGTGCGGCCGCGATCGCTACTGCGCATGCGCGGCCGCCGCCGCGATCGCCGGCTGGGTCGGATCGGCCGCAGTAAAAAGTGTAGGAATCTAAAATATGCATTGAAATGCTGCAAGGCTGTAGGTGTCACTGGTGGGGGGGGGGGGTTCTTAGTAGCTCTGTGGGAAATGAGGTTTTGGGAGGGAGCTGGGGCAACTGTGAGCAATGAGGTCTCTTCAGGAGGCTGAGGCTTTGCAGGGACACTGGGGGAGACTGTAGGGCCCAGTGGGGATTGGAGAACACTGTTAGAATTTGGGAACACTAAGAGGGAACTGGAGACCCTGCAGCAAGCTAGGGGCCACTGCAAGGAACTGGGTGGCTCTGTGGGAGGTTAGGGGGGGGATACTGTAGATACTAAGGGCTCTAGGAGCCACTGTGGGAGTTGGTGGGCATTGCGGACCACTATTAGAGCTTGCTGGGCACTATGGGAGCTGAAAGGCACTATGGGAGGTTAAGGGATCTGCAGCTGACTAGAGGCCTGGAAGGAGGGAGGCCACAGCCTGGTGTTCTAGAGAATGCCACAAGTCTGTACCTCTGATGAAGTCACGTGGTCGTGACGTAACGCGTAAGGGCATGGTTGTGGGCAGACGTGTATCGCAACTAACTCTTCTTGGAAATGCAGCTTGGATCTGGTGATGTTTTATTTTATATACACCATTTTTACTTGTTTTCACATGTGAGTGCAATACTTTTTTAACCAATAAATATACATATGCTAGTACATTCTGCACCATGGGAGTGTCCTTTTGTCTCCTCCACTAAGGGCTATAATCTCCAACCCCCTTAAAGGGACTGGTCCCCATTTCTGGCTTGATGGTGTATTAAAAGCATAAAAGGTGTCTGACCGTTTCTATATGGTTGATGATCAGGAGAGTAAAGGATTCTTTACCTATCTGGTAGTACAAAGCGCAATTTAATTGCTTTGAGGTACTGCAGGAGAATATTTATATTTAAATAAATAAAATTTGATCATTGTATAGATGGCCTCTATTATGTAAATGGATTCATTTTGCTGGCAAGCATGAATCCCCAGATGAAAATAGAAGAAAGAAAGCAAAAAAAAAAAAAAAAGAAAACTTATACAGTCATCACATATAGATCCTTGATATACGATCGTCTATGGTTAGTCATGGCATGGCCCCAATCAGCTCTCTACTGACATGTGGAGCTTTTTTACTGAATCACTATGCGTGGTTGACCTATAATAGTATATAGGTCCATTTCAGGAGCTGAGCCGCCATCCATATCCATAGGTGGTGGTGCACTTATTGTGGCGGTGGAGCTCTGTCGTTTTGGAGCCATTTGGTGCATGTTTTTCTTCAAGCACAATATTGGATTTGAACTTTCGCACTATAAAGACTCTGTTTTTCTTATTTATCATTTTATTGACTTTAATGTGTTATGAGTTAGCACAACTATCATTTTTTATTTTGTTGTATTGAGTGTGGGATCACTTATAAGTGTATTGCAGCAGCTTATTTAATGTTCAAAGTTTTTATTTTATGACAGCGCACATTGAGTTTTCTTTTAATTTTAGCCGTGATAGGTTGTCACCTGTGCAATAAGTCCATCCGTGACATTTCCTGGCTACTAAATATTCCACGCTCAACTGTTAGTGGGATTATAACAAAGTGGAAGCAACTGGAAACAACAGCCACTCAGCCACCAAGTGGTAGGCCACGTCACATGACAGGGCGGGGTCAGCGCATGCTGAAGCGCACAGTGCGCAGAAGTCACCAACTGTCTGCAGAGTCAATAGCTAAAGACCTCCAAAGTTGGTGTGGCCTTCAGATTAGCACAACAACAGTGCGTAGAGAGCTTCATGGAATGGGTTTCCATGGCCGAGCAGCTGCATCCAAGCCTTACATCACCAAGTGCAATGCAAATTGTCGGATGCTGTGGTGTAAAGCACGTCGCCACTGGACTCTAGAGCAGTGGAGATGTGTTCTTTGGAGTGACCAATCACACTTTTCTGTCTGGCAATCCGATAAACGTGTCTGGGTTTGGCGGTGGCCAGGAGAACGGTACTTGCCTGACTGCATTGTGCCAGGTGTAAAGTTTGGTGAAGGGGGGGGATTATGGTGTGGGGTTGTTTTTTCAGAGGTTGGGCTTGGCCTCCTAGTTCCAGTGACGGGAACTCTTAAGGCGTCAGCATACCAAGACATTTTGGACAATTTCATGCTCCCAACTTTGTGGGAAGAGTTTGGGGATGGCCCCTTCCTGTTCCAACATGACTGCACACCAGTGCACAAAGCAAGCTCCATAAAGACATGGAGGAGCCAGTTTGGGGTGGAGGAACTTGACTATCCTGCACAGAGTCCTGACCTCAACCCCATAGAACACCTTTGGGATGAATTAGAGCAGAGACTGCGAGCCAGGCCTCCTCCCCCGACATCAGTGCCTGACCTGACAAATGTGCTTCTGGAAGAATGGTCCAACCTTCCCATAGACACCCTCCTAAACCTTGTGGACGGCCTTCCCAGAAGAGTTGAAGCTGCTATAGCTGCAAAGGGCGGGGCCAACTCAATATTGAACCCTACGGACTAAGACTGGGGGGCCATTAAAGGTCATGTGCGTGGAAAGGGCGGGGCCAACTCAATATTGAACCCTACGGACTAAGACTGGGGGACCATTAAAGGTCATGTGTGTGTGTATGTATATTTGTAATTATATACAGTAAAAAAGTACAGTAAGATAAAAAATAAATATATGTTCTTCTTTATTATTATTATTGTTATTATTATACAGGATTTATATAGCGCCAACAGTTTGCTCAGCGCTGTACATTATAATGGGAGACAATACATGAGACAGTACAATAATAATACAATGCAAAACACGGGGGGACTGAGGGCCCTGCTCCTTGGAGCTTACAATCTAGGAGGGAGGGGATAGTGGTACAGGAGGAAATAGCTGTGGGGGATGGAGTGGTAGGAAGAGTGGAGGAGATCGGTAATTAGCAGGGGGTGGGGTAGGCTTCCCTGAAGAGGTAGGTTTTCAGGGTGCGCCTAAAGGTGAGGAGAGTAGGTGATAGTCTGATGGATTGGGGTAGGGAGTTCCAGAGAATGGGGGAAGCCCTGGAGAAGTCCTGGAGACGGGCATGGGAGGAGGAGACCAGGGAACAAGAGAGCAGGAGGTCTTGTGAGGAGCGGAGAGTACATTTTGGGTGGTATTTGGATACCAGATCAGTGATGTAGTTTGGGGCAGAGTTATATGTATTCTTACATGTGTTCAATCAGTTGACTGATGGGTATTGGTAAACATCAGGTCTGATTGGGATCCGCTGCTTTTATTCCTAATAATAGACTACATACAGTAACATGTTGTATGTAAAACAGTATACATTATAGAAAAGCTGAAATGTACTTTTTTCCCCAGATTGTAAGCTCCCAGGATCAGGCCCTCCTTTCCCTCTTGTATTGAACTATATTGTTGCTGTATTGTCTCCCGTTATATTGTAAAGTGCTGAGCAAACTGTTGGTGCCATATAAATCCTGTATAATAATAATATATAAATCCTGTATTATAATAATATATAAATCCTGAATAATAATAATAATAATATATAAATCCTGTATAATAATAATAATAATAATAATAATATATAAAATCCTGTATAATAATAATAATATAAATCCTGTATAATAATAATAATATATATAAATCCTGTATAATAATAATATATAAATCCTGTATAATAATAATAATATTTAAATCCTTTATAATAATGATATATAAATCCTGTATAATAATAATATATATAAATCCTGTATAATAATAATATATAAAATCCTAATAATAATAATAATATTTAAATCCTTTATAATAATGATATAAATCCTGTATAATAATAATAATAATAATAATAATAATAATATAAATCCTGTATAATAATATATAAATCCTGTATAATAATATATAAAATCCTGTATAATAATAATAATATAAATCCTGTATAATAATAATATATAAATAATGTATAATAATAATATATAAATCCTGTATTTAAATCCTGTAAATAATAATAATATATAAATCCTGTATTTAAATCCTGTAAATAATAATAATATATAAATCCTGTATAATAAAATGACAAATGATTGCCAGGCAGATGAGTATGTGGGAATCCGGCACTGACTGATCAGCAGTAGTCAGGGGCAGGCAGGGGGGATGTGTGATGGAACACTGCCATCCGGAGGCCAATCCTGGTATGTGCTCTGCACTCTGCTGGAAGGGGTGAAGTCAGTGGGGTACGCAGGGCCAGAAGTGGTTTTAGTGCATACAGACAATCTATACACCGCAATATAATACCAGATATCAGTATGCAGTATTTCATGTTTACATGCATCAAAAAATCTTTTTTCCTTTGTCCTCATTAGAACAAATAAAGGAAAAAATACATGTACAACTGCTACATATTAAGGACACGATTTCCTGGCTGGAGGACATCCAGTATCATCTTCCCACCTCTTATTGGCTGCTACTCTCATTCATTGGATTTCAGATCTGTCAATCTTGGATGCTCAGCATGACATGTGGGCAGCACCTATGCAGACACAGCCTGCCTAAGAACTCCCACTTCTCCAGACTGACATCCTCCCAGGAGTCAGGCAGCCGTCTGCTTGCATCAGGACTGAGGGCCCTTGAGAGGAGTAAAGCTTTCTATGTACCCCCCCCCAGGGGTTGTCAGTCACATTGCAGTAACAGTGTGTGATAGGATGATATTTCTGTATGTGGAGTGACCTCTCTCCTTCCCCCCCGCAGCCTCCCTATTGAAGCTTTGGTACCGGGAGCTGGAGGAGCCGCTCATCCCGCATGAATTCTATGAACAATGCATCACTCACTACGAGAACCCCGAGGCGGCCATAGATGTCGTCCATTCACTTCCTAAACTGAACAAGATGGTGCTGTGCTACCTCATCCGCTTCCTACAGGTACGTGTTATATGTTATGTCTTCCCTGCTGCACTCGGTGCCTCGCACCTCATTCATTTCCTACAGGTACACGTTAGGCCTCATTCACAGGGACATACTACAGCGTACACCCATACCAAGGCCGTGTTTGCCTGCACAGGGATGGACAGGTGTTCCATTCATCCCTATGCAGGCAATCCCATGTACAGTGCCTTGAAAAATTATTCGTACCACTTGAAATTTTCCAAATATTGCCATGTTACAACCGAAAAAAAAAATACTCTTCCCATTTTCAGATGATGGATTGAACAGTGCTCTGTGAGATGTTCAAAGCTTGGAATATTTTTTTCTAACCTGGTCCTGCTTTAAAATTCTCCACAACTTTATCCCTGACCTAGCTGGTGTGTTCCTTGGCCTTCATGATGCTGTTTGCTCACTAATGTTCTCTAAGGCTAGGTTCACATCTGTGCGGGTGGTGCCACTGCAGATCTGCACAAAAGTCTGTGCAGCCGCACCACCTGCACAGAGGAATGCAGACCTACGGGCGGGTGCCAGTAATTCTAATGGCACGCCACCCGCACTGGAAATCGCAACTGTACTGGGAACCGAGGTTCCCATGCAGTCTGCGTTTTCAGAAGAAGTTCTTCCCTGCATGTCCCGGGGCACGGGATTTCATTCAAATAAATGGGCTCTCATGCCCGCACAAAACGTGGACTGCAGGAATGCGGATATGTGAACCAGGAGTGACAAACCTCTGAGGGCTTCACAGAACAGCTGTATTTGTACTGAGATTGAATTACACACAGGTGGACTCTGTTTACTAATTAGGTGACTTCTGAAGGCAATTGGTTCCACTAGATTTTAGTTAGGGGTATCAGAGTAAAGGGGGCTGAATACAAATGCACACCACACTTTTCAGATAGTTATTTGTAAAAACAAATGTTGAAACCCATTTCATATTTTCCTTCCACTTCACAATGATGTGCCACTTTGTGTCGGTCTATTACATCAAATCCCAATAAAATACATTTACGTTTTTGGTTGTAACATGACAAAATATGGAAAATGTCAAGGGGTGTGAAGACTTTTTCAAGGCACGGTATGTTATTATGGATGCAGTGCCGGAACAGACACAGCCGCTGTTCCCAGTCTGACATTCCATGCAAGCACATGGCTCCGAATGCACACTGAGGGAGATTTACTAAAATTGGAGCACACAGAATCTGTGCATCAGTTTTAGTAATTCCGCCCCCCATTGTCTGCATTTGGGGCTGTGCTCCTGCACCCACATGGATGTCAGATCAGGAGGAGCAGTCCTTCCTGCTGCTAAGTCCCAATTAGCATGAATGGGACTACCAGAACAGTCATCACACGGGTGTACGCTGCAGTACGTTCATGTGATCAAGGTCCTATATATTATGTCTTCCCTGCTACACTCAGTGCCCCGTGCCTCATCCCCTTTCTACAGGTACATGTTATATGTTATACCTTCCCCACTACACTCGTGCTTCACCTACTTTCTATAGGTATGTGTTATATGTTAAATCTTCCCTGCTATGCTTAGTGACTCCCTCGCTGTACCCTGTCTGAGATAATGCTAGGCCTTGGGCTTAGGGTTGACACCTCATTCCTTTTAGACCCTTTCACACGGGCATTCCATATGTCCGTTTTTCATCTGTCCATTTACGAATGAAAAAACGGACACCCATGTATTTCTATGGACTAGCGGATGTAAACGGATAATCATCTGTTTGCATCTGTTAATGTGTACACCCTTTTTTTTTTGAACAGAAGAAAATCCTATTTTTCTTCCGTTAAAAAGAACGTAATGGAGGAGAAAGGATGGAAACAGACAACAAACGGATGTAAAAATGAATATACACTGATGAAAAACGGATGTAAACTGCTGAAAAAGTGATGTGAACTGATCCATTTTTACTTGCAAATACGTGACTGAACTGATGAAAAAAAATGGATGTAAACGGACAAAAGAAGGATGAAACCGGATGAAAAACTAATGTACACTGATGAAAAACGGATGTAAACTGATGTGAATTGATCCATTTTTTCTTGCAAAAAATGTGACTGAACTGAGGAAAAAAACAGATGTAAACGGACAAAAGAAGGATGAAAAAGGATGTAAACGGACAAAAAACAGATGAAAATGGATGAAAAATGAATGTACACTGATGAAAAACGGATGTAAACTGATGTGAACTGATCCATTTTTTTCTTGCAAAAAATGTGACTGAACTGATGAAAAAAACAGATGTAAACGGACAAAAGAAGGATGAAAAAGGATGTAAACGGACAAAAAACAGATGAAAAATGAATGTACACTGATTAAAAACAGATGTGAACTGATCCATTTCACAATTCTGTGCCACTTTGTGTCGGTCTATCACATCAAATCCCAATAAAATACATTGACGTTTTTGGTTGTAACATGACAAAATGTGGAAAATTTCAAGGGGTGTGAAGACTTTCAAGGCACTGTATGTGCACACTGGGGGAGATTTACTAAAATTGGAGCACACAGAATCTGGTGCAGCTGTGCAAACTTCAGCTTGTTCTAGTTAGCTTTGACAATGAAAACCTGGAAGTGGATTGGTTACTATGCAGAGCTGTACCAGATTTTGTGTGCATCAGTTTTAGTAATTCCACCCCCAACTGTTTGCATTTGGGGCTGTTCTCCCACACCCACATGGATGTCAGATCAGGAGTACACTGATTAAAAACAGATGTGAACTGATCCATTTTTTTCTTGCAAAAAAAAACGTTACTGAGCTGATGAAAAAAAACGTATGTAAATGAGCAAAAGGAGGATTAAAACGGATGTAAACGGACAAAAAAACAGATGAAAATGGATGAAAAACGAATGTACACTGATGAAAAACGGATGTAAACTGATGTCAACTGATCCATTTTTTTCTTGCAAAAAACGTGACTGAACTGATGAAAAAAACAGATGTAAACAGACAAAAGACGGATGAAAAAGGATGTAAACGAACAAAAAAATGGATGAAAAACAAATGTACACTGATGAAAAACGGATGTAAACTCATGAAAAACGGATGTCAACTGATCCATTCTTTCTTGTAAAAAACATGATTGAACTGATGAAAAAAACGGAACGCCCGTGTGAAAGGGGCCTTAAACCGAACACATATTAATGACACAGGTTCTGTGACTAATTAAGGTGCTTGTTACACTCACTTAGTGCCTTATCTGTGTTAAATTAGCCGCAGAACCCGTGTCATTAATGTGTTTGGTTTTAAAGGGATGAGTTGGCAACTGGGGATGCATCGATACCGTTTTTTTTTATCGGCGAATACAAGTACCGATATTTATGGTCAAGTACTAGCCGATACCAATTACCGATACTTTGCAGTGCGACTTGCATTAATGAACGCAATTTGCACCGCAAAGAATAGCATGCGATTTGAACAGGAATGTGATTTCCCCACTGCTCCTCTATAGGGTGGCCACCTCTTCCCTGTAAACCCGAACACATATCAGTGCAGGATTCCGACTTGTCTGCCTGGCTAACGTAATTCAGATAAAGCACGAAGTGAGTTTAATGACCACCTTAATCAGCCACAGAACCCGTGTCATTAATATGTGTTGGGGTTTAAAAGGATGAGGTGGCCACCCGTCTCCTCTATGAGCCCAGGCTTTTCATAGCCCGAGTTTGCACAGAAGCGGTGCAGGAAACCTCCCTGCAGACATCCCATACTGGGTGTCAATAGTAGGAGAGAAAGTGGTGGGGATTTGAAATCCACTCCACTTTTCTTCTTCTCCTTGCAGTGATGACAGTTCGAGCATCTTATTGGTCAGCACCATCCATGTGATGGTGCTGACCAATGAAAAGTCCTTAGCCCGAACTGTCATCACTGCAAGGAGAGGAAAGTAAGCGGAGGGGATTTCAAATAGTCTGAATAGAGGCAGTGTCTACAGAGGCTACAGTTGTCTATGTAGAGGCAGGCCAACCAGGAGAGAGTTGCAACAGTAGTGGTGTGAGGTAACAAGGGAGTGAATTAGAAGGTTGGTGGTGTCTTTGGTTAAGAAGGTGCAAATTGTGGAGGTGAAGGCAGCAAGATTTGGACTGTGACTGGATGTGGGATCGGTAGTCAGAATCCAGGATTACATCTAGCACCCTGGCATTAGTGATGGGACTTTACATACAGATATGTCAATTAGTAAACCAGTGGTGTGGGAGGAGACTGATAGGGTGAAGAGAGGTAGAGAGAGAGATTGGGTGTTCTTCACAAGAAATTGTATTGGAAGACATAGGTGATCCAGTCAGGGGGTGCAGATAAAGAATAAAAGGGTTCAGAGGACCGAACCATGGAAGACCCCTATGTGAAGAGTAAGAGGAGAGAAGGAGATAGAGTTGTAGGTGACCCTGAAGGTGTGGCAATGGGTAGGAGGAGAACTAGATAAAGGCAGAGTCCATGGAAGTGGAATTTTTTGAGGAGGTGTGGTAGGTCAACTGTGTCAAAGGCAAAAAAAGCTCTACGTATGAGGATGGAGTAGTTAGCCATCGGTTTTAGCAGTTAGTAAGTTTGAGGAGGGCAATTTCTGTAATGTGTTGTGGGTGAAAGCCAGACTGTAAGGGTTCAAGAAAATTTTTATCAGTGTTATCAATGCCAACCTGCTTGTGAAAATCTGACTGGCCCTGGTTTCATCTGACTGGCCCTGGTTTCATCTGACTGGCCCTGGTTTCATCTGACTGGCCCTGGTTTCATCTGACTGGCCCTGGTTTCATCTGACTGGCCCTGGTTTCATCTGACTAGCCCTGGCTTCAGTATGGATACACAAACCCGGAACAAGCAAGCAAATTCACAAAATCAAAGTGAAGTCAGGTTCAATTTTCATACCTGTTCCAAGTCGGTGATATAGAAAGTATTGGAGCCGTCAGATTAGAATGTCATCCTAGTATTTTCAGAAGGCTAAAGTCAGCCAAAGCAGCCTTATTTATTGGGTTCCTTTAGATGACTGTTACATAAGAAAAGAAAATA